CGAGAGCCTCGGGCTGCAGCCGACACGCGCATGGCACGCTCCTCAGCCCACCCGCCCCAACCCACATACACCACACACCACCACCACCACCACCCCACCCCCACACCTTGAGGAAGGCTGGGTCCATCGCCAGGATCTGCTCCAGGTCGAACGACTGCAGGCCCAGGATGCGGTCCAGCTCCACCCGCGCCTGCTGGCACTCAATCACCTTCGTGGTGCGGTTGATGGCCTGCGGGCAGAGGTAGGCGGGGGCGGCATGGCGACATGTGTGTGTGTGTGTGGGCGAGGGATGGGGTGGACGGCAGGAGGGCGTGTGGTTGGGGCGTTGCAACAGCAGGCGTGGAGCAGGGCGCTGGGCGGCTGCCCGCGGCAGCGCTGCGTCCTCCCGGACGTGCCGGCCTGGTCCGCCAGGCAAATGCAGCGCGGCCGCCGGCCCGGCGCGCACCTTGATGCGGCGCACCACCTCCCGCTTCTCCTCCTCCGTCACCAGGTCGATCTTGTTGAGCAGCACGCGGTCGGCAAAGGCCACCTGCGGCGGGCAGGCACGGGCAGGCTCGGCTCCCTCAGGGCCCCCTTGCAGCGGCCCATACGCAGCCCAGGCGGCGAGCCCGCCACAGCAGACGCGCACACAGCCGGGATGCATGAAACCCTCTCGCCCGCCCACCCACCAACCCCTCCTCCGCCCTCTCGCCTGCTGGATGGACTCGTTGATCACATCGTCGGGCTTCTCTTCGTCCAGATGCAGCAGGATGTGCTTGGCATCCACCACTGCAGGGGGGAGCAGGGGGAGGTTGGAGCGCGGGACGCAGCGGCGGATGGCGCCGGCAGGCGTGGCGCCCACCCCACGCGCGTGCCGCCAATGACGAGCAACCCCAGGCCTTGGGCCGGGCTTCCACCTCACCGCCAGGCCGCTCACCAGCATGGCACCACACCAGCTTGGCAGTCACCCCAGCCGCCGCCCTCCGATCCGCACTGCACCACGCAGCACGCGCCACCCACCTGTGAGTATGGAGTCGAGGCGCAGCGAGTGCTTGAGGTCGTCGTCCACGAAGAAAGTCTGGGCGACGGGGGCGGGGTCGGCCAGGCCTGTGGTCTCGATGAGGATGTGGTCAAACCTGGTGGAAAGGATAAATACAGAAAGAAGAAAGATCGGGGGGGCTGGAACGACTTCAGAGCTCACGGCTGGCGGGCCATGCAAGCAAGCCGGCAGGCAGACAGCAAGCAGGCAGGCAGGCCCACCTGTTCTTGCGCTTGAGCAGCTTGGTGAGGATGCGGATGAGGTCGCCGCGCACTGCGCGGGCAGGCAGGGGGCGCAGGCAGGTGGGCGCAGGCAGCGGGACAGCCGCAACGCAAGAGCATGCAGCGCTTGGGGGCCGTATCCGCCCGAGCCGTCCCCGTTGATGGAGGCAGGTGAGGCCGAGGAGCTTGGCGGCCGTGGGCTCCCCACCTGTGCAGCAGATGCAGCCCTGCAGGCAGGCAGGCAGGCAGGCAGGCATGCAGGCAGGCAGGAAGGTCAGCGTCCAGGCCCAGCAGCGCGCTGCTCCCGATCCGTGGCGTTCTCGCCATGCTGCTTGCGCTGTCGGCGGCGTCTGCTGCCACCGCCTCCAGCCAGCCCGCCACGCAGGCTGCCATCCCGCCGCCGCTGACTTCTGCCACCTCAGCGACTGCCATGCCCCAGGCTGCGTGCCCATGCGGGCCCCAGCGCTCCGGCAGCTGTGGAAAGCACGGCTCACGTTGTTCATCTCAAAGATCTCCTCCTTGGTGTCCAGCACCAGCGCATCGTCCACGCCCACCTGCAGAGAGAGGCAGCGCAGCGCAGAGGGGGAGGGCACGTCCTCGTGTGTTGCCGGCAGCGCTGCGTGAAACCAGCCCACGCGAAAAACAGCGCTGATGTCAGCGGCGCCAGCGCCGCATGGGTTTTTTTTATTCTTGCCTCGCCAAACTCGTTCTACGAGGGGAAACAGGGTGCAAGAAAGGGCAGGGCAGAGCAGCGGCAGAGTCGGGCGGAGGCACGGGTGCGCTGCCGGGCGAACAGGCAGCGAGCCTTGTGTCAAAGCAGCGAGGCAGACAGACAGCGGCGCTTGCACCCACCTCGATGACCGCAATCTTCTTGCCGTGCTCCCCTGCGAGGCACCAGGGTTGGGCAAGGTGTTCCGAACAGCGCAGAGCAGAGGCGGCAGTCATCGCAAGCGGAAAGTGCAGCGGGAGCGTGGTGCGGCAGGCTTTAAGTCACCTGTCAGGATGTGGTTGATGAGCGTGGTCTTGCCTGCACAAGGGGAGCAAGGCACAGATGATGGATTATGGCACAGATTAGGACTATGGCACAGTGCCCATGCAGCACTGTGGCGGCGGGCGGCGGCGGCGGGCGGCGGCGGGCGGTGGCGGAGCACAGCTGCTCGTGTCTGCTTGCAGACCGCAGCTCTGGGAGCCACACTGGAAAGGGACACAGCCGGGGGAGGCGGCAGAGCGTTCTGGGGCGAGGGGCATGCCCCGATGCCGAGCGATCAGCCGGCCCCTCGCTCCCGTGCGGTCTGCGTGCCACCAGACCCACGTACCAGAGCCCAGGAAGCCGGTGACAACGGTGCACGGCACCTTGCCGGCGGCCATTGTTGCTGTCGAGGATAGCGCCCAACAGTCGACTGCAGCAGCAATGAGAGGAGGTGTGGCGGATATGAAAATGAACCCGCAACGATCACATGAGGCAAGCCTGTCCACGCGCCCGGCTGGCGCCCAACTGGCGTCCCGCCGTTGCGCGGCGATGTATTCCCTCCTGCTCATCCCCGTAGTTTCACTTGCTTTAAGGGACCAGCATGCCTCTCGTCCTCTGCTGTTACCTTCCTTGCAATGGCAACACAGGGGCAGCGCCGGCAAATGCCCGTACCCTCAAGCGGCAGCAAAGTGCCCCGACCTTGAGGCCGAGCAGCTTGTCTATCCCAGAGGGAGAGGTTAGACTGCTGACAAATTCATATTGTGGGCGCGCCGTTTGCATGCTAGTCCAGCGGTGCGAGGCCGGTCCCGTTGCGAAGGCAACACCCCTTGGCAATTACCTTGCCGCAACCGCCTGATCTCCACCGGCGCCGCTGCAGGTGTGCAAATTTGCATCTCCTGCAGAGCATCTCTAGAACCCCGTGACAGCTCGTGCATAGACATTTTCCTGGAAAATGTTCAACAGCTAGAGCTGGCAACGCAGGCCCCCACGCCCTCTCATGCAAGGATACCATCACGCTGCGACGGCTGCTGTGCCCCATGGGCAACCCCGCGGCCTCGGAAGCTGGTCGAGGACACAATCTTTTGCCTTCACTCCTGCTTTCCCACGAATAAGAGAGCAGCTTGCGCCACCTCTTGTTTCGCGGTGTTCGCAATGAAGGCGTCCGCTGTGTGTCTGTCGCTCATCCTGCTTTTCAGCGTGGGCACGCAGGCCGTGGTGGTGCCTACGAGCTGCAAGAGGTTCGGAGGGAGCTCCACACTAGCGCTTCAGTACGTGGGGAAGCTCATGGCGATTTGCAAGCCCAACTGGACCACCTGGAAGGTCAACTGCACCCCAGCTTGCAAGTCTCAAATCAAATTGGTGAGCTGTGCTGTGCGGGGAGCTCTGCCCGCTGTCCTGGTTGCCCCTCAAGGCGCTTGGAGGCTTGACGCGGCCCCACCGTTCCGCGCCCTGAATCGATGTCACATGCGGTATTCTGGGGAAGGAAAACGGGTGCAGCTGGGCCAGCCGGGACCCAGATGGTTGGTGGCCACCGCCGCCGCTGCCGTGCCCTTGTGCCTGCAGGTGAGCAAGCAATGCTTCAAGGATGCAGTGTTCAAAAACTACAAGCAGCCGACTTCGCAGAAGCTGTGGAACGGCGCCTCAGCGTGCGCCAAGTGGTAGAGGGAATTAATGGCGGCGGTTGGTGAACCGCCACGCTCTCTTTCGCCTCGCGATTTCACAGACTTCAGAGTTTTCCCCCCTCAAGTACAGTAAATATGCCCAAGACTTCAAGTTTCTCCGCTTCTTTTTTCACTCTATTTTTTATTGTCCGAGCTTCAGATACAGTAGAGCCTCGCGCCGAGTCACTTGCAGTGCCTGTCTTCCCCCTTCTCTCTACTCCCGTTTGCAAGTAACTCCCCTCTGCAACAAGTTTGCCGCATCTCGCTTTCAGGAAGCAGTTATTTTCAATGCATGAGCAGCGCTGACACCTTGACCGGTCTGTTCTTGGATTGTAACTCTGATAATCGGCAACACGCCGTCGGCTTTGCTACAAGTCATGGCCCATTTGCAGAACAGAGCGTCGCAGCGATGCACATGGAGGAGGCACACCTTAATGAAACCAACTGCCTGGAAGTTCAGAAGTATTCTATAGCACATTTGTCTGCCTGCAGAGCCTGTCCCTAGATATGTGTGTGCTACCGTGGTGCCAGCCGCGCTGCTGGCTCCAAGGGCCGTGCATCCAGGCGGCTGGGTCACATCCTGGCACCGCCCAGCCCCCTGTTCTGCATGGCCGCCGCCATGGCTGCCGCCGTCACCGCTTTGACATCCGCGGCCGTCACTACATAATCGGGGCCGTGCTGCGCCTGCAGCTGGGCCACACCCGCCCTGCAGCAGCACGTAAAGCAGCAGGGCAGAACGCACATCGACCGGGCGGGCAGAGGCAGCAGCAGCACCCTGGGCAGCGAGCCAGCGCCAGCCAAGACCAGGGAGCGGCAGACGCTTTGGAGCTCAGGCACTCGGCCACGTGGCCACCGCTTCCATCACCCTCCCAACCGAGGAGCTGGCTCAAGGCAAACGCACGAGATGTGGTCTGAGAAGTTGCGGAAGCCGGCGGCGATGAACATCTGCTTGTCCTGCGGGAACGCCGACAGCGCCTCTGCCGCATCCTGGTCCAGCGTGCGTCCGCGGCGCCTGGCGGTACAGGAGGCAGGAAAGGCAGTACACAAGCGCTTCGCGCAAGGTGTCAGTCAAGTGCCACACTATCCAGCGGACTGCCAGATACCAACTTGCCGGTCGCAACAGCATGCCAGCACATAAGTGGTCGGGCGGCTGTCTTATCATTCTTTTTGCCAGGTGCTCACCGCTCTGCCGCCTTGATCGCAGCTGCAATTTCGTTGAGCGAGTAGATGGCACCCTCGCCGCCCTCCGCCTCCTCACCCTCGGGCACTGCCGGCGCCTCCCAGCTGTCGCCAGCCTGGCGCCACGCCAGCTCATCGTCCTGCCCAAAATCATACAGCGCGTCTGCAGGCAGCGCGGTGGGGCTGAGGGCAGTGGGCTGCGGGCAGCAACGCGGGCTTGGTGTGGAGGCTGCCAGCATGTGTGGCAGCCCAGCCAGTGAGGCGATGACTGCCCTTCGGCCTGCTGTGGGGCATGCAGGCCACCTGTGTGGCAGCTGGCTGCACGGCGCATGCACCCCGGCAGCTGGAGGCAGCTGCCAGTGGCCGCCGCTCACGCTCTTCCAGGAACGTCACTCTGCAGCACTCCTGCTCCTCGAAGCCGCTGTCGGGGTCGGGATCGTACCTGCCAGGCGAACAGGCAGGGCGTGGGTGCGGCGTTCAGGCAGGGAGAAGCAGGCAGGCAGCAGGCGGGATGACCTGGCCACATCACAGAGGGGCAAAGCGACGCAGTACAAGAGGAAGACTGTCGTAGTGCGGCAGGGCGGCCTGCCTCGCATGCAGCCCGAACCATCAATCATTACCTCAGCACATACACTTGCCGCCCCTCGCCGTCCGTCTCCCCATGTGGCCTGCTGTCCAGCACCGCTCCCCACCACTGCAGCGGGAGGCGGGATCAGGAGGTGGGCGGCAACGGAGCCGGGAGCGGCCTGCACCTCATCGCAACAGGTCGCATGGCGTGGTGGCCAGTAGCAGCGTGCCAAGGCAGACAGCACTGCACGATCACTTGCCCACCTTGGTTGAAGCCGGCGCCCCTTCCTCCTCCAGCTGCCACTTCACCTCCAGCCTGTCCCCCAGCTGCAGCCCCATCTTTGAGGGGAGGTCGGGCTCCTCGGCGAGCATGGCCTCGCCCTCCTCGTCCTGCTGCGAAGACGACGCCCAGGGCAGGGCAGCATCATCACCCATCGTGGCCAGCGAATGCGGCAGACACCAGTGTGTACCACGGTGTAGGATTCACATTGGTTGAAATCCTGCCCCCCTGGCGCCAGCGTGGCGCTCGCCCCGGCTCTGGAGCTGCAACAGAACAGAGTTTCATCACCTGGAGCTGGAGCTGACAACCCTCAGCAGCAGCCAGAATCAGCTGGCACCTGGAATCAGCAGGCGGTGTCGCTTGGCGGCACGCGGCATACCAGCCACGCTCACGGCTACAAACGCGGCGCCCGAGTTTCAGAAGATTGCCAATGCCAGTCCAGATCATGATAATGCATATTCATCAGATTTCATACAAGTTCTAAGGAAACGCCAGAGCCTCCAAAATCCATCAAATTCCATCCGGTGCTGGCCGCCCGCCTGGCGACGCCAGGCGGATGCCCCATGATCGGCTACGAACGCCTCTTGTGCGGCTCTTGGGCGGCCTTTATTGGAGAGCTATTTTAAAGAGGGTCGTCCCGCCGCCACAGCAGCAATGGAGGCGGGGTTGCCCTCCTCGCCGCAGCTAGGTGAGCCGGCCCGGGGAAAAGGCGGCGCTCTGTGCGTCTGCGCCACCTCGCAAGCGTTCCTTGAAAGGAGCCGCGGCCGCCTGGCCCCTGCAAGCGATGCCCTAGGCCCCGCTCACCCCTCCCGCAGGCACCCTGGGCAGCCCCCGGACCTACACATACACCGACGCCGAGCTGCAGTCGCTGCTGACGTGCGTGCTGGACGAGGGGCACGCCGGGCACCTGGAGGGGCTGGCACTGCCCATGGGCGGCGGCCACGGGCCCGCGGGCGGCCACAGCCTGCAGTTCCTGCCCCACCTCCCCATGCCCACCAGCGTCACCAGCTCCGAGCACGAGCCAGCCATGTTCATCCCCTCGGACTTTGCGGGGCCACAGGCGATGGGCGGCGACGCGGCCCACCTGGCGGCCCCGCTGGGCCTGCCGCCGCTGCGGGTCGGCCAGCAAGCGCAGGGCCACCCGCACATGAACGGCGGCAGCCTTGAGCTGGACCCCCTAGGCAGCCGCTCCAGCACCTTCACGATGGCAGGGGCGCCCGGGGCGGCGCCGGCGGCGCAGCAGCGGCAGCAGGCGCGGCAGTCGCAGCGGCCCGGGCCGCGGGCGGGGCCCGCGGGCGCCGCGCGCGCCTCCTCGCTGCCCGTCCCCGCCGCGGCAGCCAAGCAGCCGCACAGCATAGTGGAGAAGCAGCGGAGGGACCGCATCAACCACCTGATAGACGAGGTGAGGCTGCAACGGCGCTGCCGGCTGACACGGCATGCCCCCGCAGCTGCGGCCGGCACACTGCTGCACGCGCCAGCCCCGTTGCCCCAGCCGCAAGCCCACCTGGCACCAACCCGCCCCTACCTTGCCGCCACCTCCCCGCCCTGCCTCCCCTGCCTGCAGCTGCGGGACCTGGTGCCGCCGCAAGGCACCGCCGCGGAGCTGGGGGCGGCGATGGCGGCGGAGGCGGCCGCGGCGGGCGACTCGCGGCGCCCAAAGCACGTGGTGCTCTCCGACACCATCCGCCTCATCAAGGACCTGCAGCTGCAGGTGGCGGAGATGCAGGTCTCGCCGCCGGCTGAGGGCGCCAGGTGGGCGCGCCCTGCCTGCGCCTGGCTAGCTGCTGGCGCCGGGGTGCTGGCAGGCCGGCCGGCAGCATTGCCTGCTTGCGCCCTGGTGGGAGCTGCGTCTGGCACAGTCATCGCCAGGGAGATGCTTAGCTTCTGCCTGCGCAGGCCCCTTTTCGCCAGTCTGAGCGTGCCTGCCGGGCCTGCTGCCTTGCCTGCAGGGCGTGGCACGAGCATCAGATGGTGACGGAAACATTCAACAACAGCCACCTGCAGCCGCCCGCCGCGCCTCCCAACCCGCAGCCGTCCGCACCGCCGGCGCCGGCGCCGCCGCAGCAGGAGGCGGCGGCGCAGCAGGAGACCGTGGGGATGGAGGTGCAGGCGGCGGCGCAGCAGGCGGCCTCAGGGTCCTTCCTCAGCGGCGACGGCCCGCACCCCGAGCTGCCGCACGCGCCCGACGACGACGCCGCGTCGGACAGCGGCGTGGTGGTGGAGAGCGAGGCGGGCCAGATCCGATACGTCAAGGTGAGGCGCGGCAGCGGCAGGGCACGGCTCCCTCTGCGAGCAGGCGCGCCGCTGCATGCCTGCGCTGGCCCCAAGGCACGCCACTTGTGCACTCTTCGCCGCCTGCCTCTGATGCCCCATGCTTGTTTACCCACCGCCTCCCTGCCCTCCTGTTCACTTCCTGTGCAGGTCACCTGCCCCGACCGCCACGGCCTGCTGGCGGATGTGGTGCGTGCGCTGCGGGAGCTGCCTCTGGAGATCACCACCGCCGCCATCACCACGCGGCGGGACCATGTCGTGTATGACGTGTTCCAGGTGGGAGCTGGGGCTGGGCTGGGCTGCGGGTAGGGCTGGGCTGGGCAGGGCTGGGCAGAGCGGCTGGGAAGCTGGCAGGCAGTGTGGGCTGGGGCTGGGCCTGGGGATGGACTGGCCTGGGATTCAGCTTGCCGGGCCTGGCCTGGGTGGGAGGAAAGGCGGATGCCTGGTTGGCACGAGGGCGGCGTGCACGTGGCTGGGTCCCTGACTGACGCCCCCTGCTCCACCTGGGTGATGGCAGGTGGAGGTGGAGGACCCTGCGCTGACCCAGGAGCAGCTGCGCGCCGCTGTGGAGGCCGCGCTGCACCCGGCCGGCGAGAAGAAGCGGAAGCAGGAGTGCCAGCAGTCGCCCTGCACCGCCCTGCTGGCCGGCTGAGCCCACGTGGCGGCGGCGCCGCGCCGGGGCCCGTGCCCGCATCCCACCCAACTCGAGGACCCACAAACAACGAGGATTCAGTTGCTTGCTTTCCTGCTCTCTCTCCGTCGGCCGTTTCACGCTCGGACGTTCTCTTGCTGCTACACGGCAGATTTTCTCGCTGGGGCTTTCTCTTTCCTTTCGGCATGGACCACCAAACCGCCATGCCTGCCAACGAAATGCCTGTCACCCTCCCTTCCTCTCCTCCCTCTGGATCAACGAATGATGGTACCCCCCACCACTGCCTGGTCTTCGTCCTCGTACCGACCTCTCTCCTAAGCTTCTGCACACACCCTACCTATCAGTTAAGCACTGCACACGATCATATCACGGGTAAATCGTTTAATCGCATGGTGCCACGTGAACTGAAACCCAGGGCGTAGGCAGGAGCGGGGAAGGCGGGAGGCCGCCGCGCCGGAGGCCGCCGCGCCGACTTTCTTGAGGCTCGGTTTTGCATGCGCCGCAATGCGTGGCGGGTTGTTGACCTCTCCCGGCGGCGTTTACATCACGATTGACATACTTCTGGCGACCGCGTGCAAGGGTTCAGCCTCCAGCCGCCACCTTTCTTGACCTCCTTGCCGCCATCACTCTCGCGGCGCCTGGAAGGGCAACGCTGTGTGGATGAAATGACGGTGTCAGCAGAGGACGTGCTGCAAGTACTGGTGCAGCTTTCACGCGACACTCGCGGTGAGCATCTGGAGGGCGGTTGTCTGCTGCAGGGCTGCCAGCAGCGCCTGAGGAGCCGGTGGGCGCGGTAGCAGGTGCCAGGAGCGCGGGTTTCGGGCAGCAGGCCCTGACCGGCCGTGGGGCGCCGGCGCCTCTTGGCCTGCTCGTTGCCCTTGCCTCGCCTGCCTTTCGTCTAGCGTCCCTGCCATTCCATGCTGCAGAGTTGGACATCGGCTCCACGGTGGACCGCCATCAGAAGCTGCCCGTGGTGCAGTTTTTGCGGGACTATGTGGCCGCCAACAAGCCGGTGGTGCTCACAAGTGAGAGCCTCGCCTGCCGGCAGCAAAGCAAACAGCATGAAGGAGCTGGGGAGATGAAGGAGTGGCAGGCTGGCGCTGCTGCTGGACTGGTAGCATCCTTGCTACCCCTTCACATGTCACTCAGGCTGCCGGCCGGTTGAGCTGACGCCCCTGCCTGCCTGCCTGCCTGCCTGCCTGCCTGCCTGCCTGCCCGCCTGCCTGCCTGCGCAGGCGTGGTCAGCCACTGGCCGGCGTACTCCAACTGGACAGATGACTACTTATGCTCTATGGCCGGTGACACAGAGGTGACAGTGGCGCTGACGCCCAATGGCCGCGCCGACGCGGTGACGCGGCTGCCGGGCGCAGCCAACGGCGCCAGCAGCCCCGCCAGCGGCAGCGATAGCAGCAGCGGCAGCCCCGCGCCGCCGGGCAGCGAGGACGGCCCGCGCGGCGCAGGGGAGGAGGCAGCAGAGGCGGCGCGGGCTGGGCTGCCGGGCACGCCCGGGCAGTGCTTTGCACTGCCGCACCAAGTAAAGATGCCTCTGCGGGACTTCCTGGCTCTGCTGCGCTCCAGCAAGCAGCAGAAGGCAGCGGCGGCGGCCGACGGCGGCGTGGCGGCCAACGGCAGCGGCGAGGCAGCTGCCCCGCAGCTGCCTCCCTCTGTGGTGCCGTACCTGCAGTACCAGAACAGCAGCCTGACGGCAGAGGTGCCTCAGCTGCTGGGGGACATCGACCTGCTGCTCAGCTGGGCCACCCAGGCCTTTGGTGCGCGGCCCGCCACCGCGTCTGATGTGGTCGCTTGCCATTTGCTTGCTTGCCTGCCGCTCCATCTGCCCGCCTGCCCTGGCTTCCCTCTGCCTGCCTTCCTGCCTCCCTGCCATTCCTCCGCGCCTGCTGCACCTTCATGCCCGCCCATTCCATCCGCCGTCCTTCCGACGCTGACTACCCACCGTACCTGCCCGCCTCCCCACCTACCTGCTTGCCTGTTCTGATACCGATGCAGGCGGCCTGCCAGAGGCGGTAAACCTGTGGATAGGCGACGAGCGCAGCATCACCAGCTGGCACAAGGACCCCTTTGAGAACATCTACGCAGGCATGCCTGCCGCCTGCCGTCCTCGAGCAGCTCGCGCCGCTCACACTCCCACGCCGTTGCCTCTGTGCATGCCGATTTTTCCCTCCCAGCTGCGGCCGAGCCGTGATGTCGAGCGTCCCTTGCCGCCCTGCCGCCCTGCCGCAGTGCTGGCAGGCAGCAAGACGTTCACGCTGCTGCCGCCGGCGGATGCCTTCCGCATGCGCATGAAGCGATACCCGCAGGCCACCTACAAGCCTGCCGCCGCCGCCGCCGCCGCCCGCCCCGGCTTCGCCTCCGCCAGCAGCGACAGCATCAGCGACGGCGTGGAGGCGGTACTGAGCGGTACCGTAGCGCTGGAACCTGTGCTGGACGAGCCGGGCGAGGAGGTGCTGTGGTCCTCTGTGGTGCCCGCGGCCGACGCGGCGGCCCTGGCGGCAGCGGCGGGCGGTGGCGGCGGCAGTGGCGTACCCGGCGCAGCGCCCCTGCAGGGGCGGGACCTCTTCTCAGACCCCTCGCTGCCGCCTCCTATCACCGTGACAGTCAAAGCCGGGGAGGCGCTGTACCTTCCAGCTATGTGGTGGCATCAGGTGCGCGGGGTCGGGCATTGCAGCTGGGCAGGAGAGCACCGCGGTGCTGGGTCTGGCCGCCGCGCTGCTGAGGCAGCAGGACGCTTCTCCTGGACGGGAGGTGGGCTGCTACAAGGGTAGCCTGACACCCCACACGTATCGCCGCCGCCGCTGCCCTGGGGAGCTGCAGGTGGAGCAGAAGCCGGATGCCGCGGGGCGCGCCATCGCAGTCAACTACTGGTGAGGCCCAGCAGCATCCAGCCTGCCTCCCTGCCTTCCTGCCTGCCTCTGTACGGTTGCAGGGGGTGGTTGCGCCACGACCGTATGGCTGGCGGGCGGCTGGCGGCTTGCAGCCATCTGCTGCTACCGGCTGGCGGGACGGCGCTGGTTGTGAACTGTGCCGCGGTACCTGGGCTGATGTACCGCGGTACCGCTGCAGGTACGACATGAAGTTCGATGCCCGCCAGGCCTACCTGCTGGCGGTGGAGCGGCTGGCCACGCTGCTGGGGCTGAATGAGGAGCCACCGCCGCCGCCGCCGCCGGGCTCCGTGGCGAGCGATCACGGCCACGAGCACCCGCAGCTGCGGCCGCCCTACCACCAGCGCGCCGCGGGGTGAGCGCGGGCGGGGGACTGGGCCCACGCGGCGCGCCGCGGCGCACCGTCCGCCAGTTACCAGCTTGGCCACGCCCCTGGCCTGCCGGTCTGGCACCGGCTGCTGCATGTGCTTGCCCCAGCTGGGCGCCCGGCCGCACCGGCCTGCTAGGCGTGCCGTGACGTCCCTGCCTTCCCTTTCATGCACTCCTTTCACCCTCCCCAATTTGCTGCGTGCCCCCAGCATTCCATGTCTTTGGTGTTACACAGGCTGCATGCATGTGTTGCCGGATGCCAATTGGATCCGTGTATTGCTATGTATAAGCAGGGGCAAGCAACCGTGGCCTCGCAAGCGCTAGCGGGTACAACGACAGGAGGGGGGGGGGGCGCAGGAAGGGCGCGCAGGGGGAGGCTCAGGGCCAGCCCACAAGCGGGGACTTGTACAGCCACAGGCCGGTGGCGGCGGTGGAAAGAATAGTGAGGGTTAAGGAGAGGCAGTGTGCTGGCTGGCCGCTCGCTCCAGGTGATGAAAGGGTGATGACGGTGAGGAATCAAAACAAGAAAATACTCGAGGATGCCGGGGACTGGCTAGCCCACGGCGGCACGAGCTGCGCATGCCTCGGCCCACCCAGGCAGGCCGGCAGGCCGCTCACAGGCCGACGAAGCGCTTCACAAAGCCCACCAGGCCCTGCATGGGCCCGCCCGAGCCCTCGCGCTGGGCTGGCTGCGCGGAGCGCGGCGGCGGCTGCTCCTGCTCCACCTCCATCCCGCCCTCATGCTCGTAGTAGGACCCCGAGGCGCCCGAGGCGCCCTTTCCAGACGGCTCCGCCTGCTGCTGCTCCCGCCGCCGCTCGCCAGCCGGCGGCGCGGCCTGCCCGCGCTCCTGCCGCGGCGGCGGCTGCTGGGCGGGGTGCCAGCCCGAAGCCTCCGCCTGCCGCTGCCGCTGCAATACAAGGTCGGCGCTGTCGACGGTGTTCAGAACGGGTGGCTGGACGAGCTGCGGCAAGCCCAGCAGCTCCGGCTGCTGTGCCTGGCATGGCGGCATGGCCGCGGCGCCCGGCTGCGCGGAAGGCCTGCCCGCACGCAGCCCCGCCCCAGCGCCCGGCACAGCCTGCAGCGCCTCCTCCTCCTGCTGCTGCTGCTGCTGCCGCCGCCGCGCCTGCTGGCCTGCATACTGCCGCTTGCTGGGTTGCGCCTCCTCTGCCGCGCCGGCCGGGCGCTTGGCACGGGGGCGCGCTGCCGCGCTCGACGGCCCTGCTATGTTGCCTGTGCCAGGCCCCAGCTGTGCAGCAGCTGCACGCCTGGCCGGGGCCTGCGGCTCCTGCTGCTGCTGCTGCTGCTGCTGCTGGCGCTGCGGCTTCTCCACGCTGCCTGCCTGGCCGCCGGACCGCGCCCTGCGCCGCCGCCGCCTGCGCTTCTTGGCGCCCGCGCCCACCTGCGCCCGCGTGCTGCCGTCGGAATCGCTATCTGCAGAGCGTGCGCAGCAGGGGCAAAGAAACGGAGACAAGGATGCTAGTAAGGGAGCTCGGGCTTGGGCAGGAGGGCATCAAACAGCAGCAGGCCAGCACACCATCAAGGCACACCGTACTACTACTGGCAGCCTGCTGGCAGTGCCTCGCCAGCTCAGAACGCCGGGATTTCGGAGCGACGGGCACGCACCTGTGTCTCCTGCGCCCGCAGGGTTGCCGAACGCCATTCCCGACTGGATGCTTCCCTGCGGCGCGGCCACCGCCTGGCGGCGCGGCTGGTTGGGCGAGGCGGCGGCGGGCGGCAGCGCGCCCTGCTGCGCTGCCGCCAGCCCCGCCTGGGCCCGCTCCGCGGCGGCCGCCTGCCGTTGCTGCAGGCGGGCGGGCGCGTCGCGCTGCGCGGCCGCCAGCGAGCGCCTGCCGCGGCCGCACGAGCCGGCACGGCGGCCGCCGCCGGTGCCGCCGACCACGGCGGGCGGCGCGTCGAAGCGCTGCTTGCTGATCGCCTCCATGCCTGCGGCAGGGCGCAGCCGGCTGCGTGGTGAGCAGGGCAGCCCACCAGCCTACACAACGCAGCCAAGCCGCGACAGGCAGCCACAAACACGGCAGGTCCCCAGATGGCGGCAGCAGCCAGGCGGTCGCCGCCACAAGCCACCACCAATGGTCGCCGGCGGGGCAGCCAGGCAGCACCTGTGGAGGCGGTTGCCTCCATGACCACCGCCGCCTGAGTGGCTACTGTGTCGGCCTTGGCCGCTTTGACGGGCTGCGCCGGCGGCTGGCGTGCTCCGATGGCCCTGAAGCTGCGGCAGGCGGGGGCAAACAGGTGCGAGACAGCAGGGGTGAGCCAGCAGGCGCGCAGGCAGCGCAGGCAGGGAGGGAGCATGGGCAATGCATGGCATGCAACAGCAGCGGCGGAGGGGCAAGGGGCAGCGGGCAGCGGAGCCGCACTCTTCCAGCGGCGGCTTGGAGATGGCGGTGTCGGCCAGCAGCACCTCCTGAGCTGTGGCTCGCCAGAAGGAGCACACGTGGCTGGCCACGCGCACCTGCACCAGCACAGCGGGGTTGGTGAGAAGCGAGGACACGGGGGAGGGGGGTAATGGGCGGCGGCGGCGGCGCGAGATTGGACGACGCGCGCAGGTCCCACTCACCCAGCGGTTGCCGTCCTCCATTGCCAGCAGCCGCTCCAGTATGGTGATGAGCTCGGGGGGGGCCTCCTGCCAGGGGCTGGGCACACGGGGCGGCGCAGCGCTCTTGGCCCTGCGTGTTTTGCCCTGAGCCTGGGGTTGCCCCTTGGGCGGTGCCCCGCCACGGCGCTGCTTCATGCCGTCAGGGGATGGCTGTGCCCGTCAGTGCGGCAGCCCAGGAGGGCCAGGCGGCCACTTGACCAACTTTGCCGTGCGCTGGTGCACACCGAGAGCCGCCACGAGCTTTCAATGATGCTGGGACCTGGGCAAGCAGGGAGGGCCTGAGAGGCCTGGGTCTCGCATGTGTTGCCCATGCCAGCGGGGAATGCGATGGCCACTGTCGATGGCAGGCCAGAGGTGCTTCTTGCAGCTCCCAGCATCCTGCTTCATTCATAGGATACGCACCCCAGCCCTTACTGCTGTTACTACTCTGGCGATCGCTCCCACTTCGTTCGGAGGAGCTCCCTCGCTCTTGGCGATCCTGCATTGCCCACCATGCAGTGACGACATGCCTTGATCGGGGCGGAGGGGCCTGCAAGGGAGCCATACAGCATGGACGCAGGAATTGTGCAGACGCTCCTCGCCAGCCAGCAGCTGACGACCACCAATGAGCAGAGGGTGGCCGCAACTCGGTTGTTTGAACAGGTGGGTCCCGGGCCGCCCACGCCTGCGCAGGCAGTGCCGCCATCGCCATCGCGGCTGCCTGGCCACCCTTGGACTGCCTGAAGCGGGACATGGGGACACAAGGGGGCAGTCTGATCGCTGCCGTGCCGCCGCCCCGCCGCGCAGCTCAAGGCGGGCGAGGTGCATGCCAGCGCGGCGGTTGCCACCGAGCTGCTCAAGGCCCACCAGCCGCCAGAGCTGCAAGTGCTGGGCTACACCCTGCTGCAGCACCTGGTGAGTTTGGTTATTGGCTGGCCGGCTCGCAGCATGCATGCGCGCGGGCATGCATGGGCCAGTGCCGGTGCCGACCAGGCGAGGCGCTCGCTGCAGCCGACACCGATACGGGCGTGTGCCAATCCTGCACATGCTGCATGTGCACCCATGCTGGATGCCTGCCTGGTGACCGCTTCCTGGCCTGCAGGTGGGCAACCGCTGGGAGGAGTTCAGCGCAGAGGAGCACAGCCAGCTGGGCACCCTGGCTTACAACATGCTGCAGCAAGGCACGCCTGGCCGCTTGCCTGCAGTCCTGCCCAGCAGCGCGACTGCAGCCTGCCCGCTATGGCGCAACCTGCTTGGCGTGTGTGCCTGCGAATGGGGTGACCATAGCAGCAGCGGCTGTAGCTGTATGCCTGCGGTTATGCAGCAGCCAGAGCCGCTGCTGCATAGCCCCAGCATTGCCACCGTGCCCTCCCCACGTGCCGACCACACATGTTTGTTGTCCCCCGCACCCCGCCGCTGCCTGCAGGCGCCGCTAGCTGGGCCATCCGCAGCAAGGCCTCGCTGCTGCTGGCGCTGGTGATCAAGCGCACGGGGCACGAGCTGTGGGAGGCGGCGCTGCCGCAGCTGCTGCAGGCAGCTGCCTCAGAGGGGCCAGCCATGCAGGAGCAGGTGGGGGAGTTGGGTGGGCAGCGCCTGCGAGAGTGTATGTGCGTGGGGGGGGGGGGGGGGGGTGA